AACGCTTAGGTTCTGCGTGGATTACCGGCAGCTGAACGCGGTGAGGAAGAAAGATGTCTATCCCCTCCCCCGCATCGACGACACGTTAGACCGGCTGCGCCACTCCCGATACTTTTCATCGATGGACCTGAAGAGCGGCTACTGGCAGATCGAAGTCGACGAACGGGACCGAGAGAAGACAGCTTTCGTCACGCCGGATGGGCTGTACGAGTTCAAGGTGATGCCCTTCGGACTGTGCACGGCGCCAGCAACTTTCCAGCGTGTCATGGACACCGTACTGGCAGGACTGAAGTGGCAGAGCTGTCTCGTCTACCTCGACGACGTCGTAGTGTTTTCCAGCGACTTCGACGAGCACTTGCGACGACTTCGAGCAGTTCTCCAAGCCATACGGACCGCCGGACTCACCCTGAAGCCGTCAAAGTGTCGGTTCGCCTATGACGAGCTGAAGTTCCTAGGTCACGTGGTCAGTAACGAAGGCGTTCGCCCCGACCCAGAGAAGACTCGCGCCGTAGCAGCATTTCCAGCGCCGACGGACAAGAAGGCCGTGCGAAGGTTCCTTGGGCTATGTGCCTACTATCGGCGCTTCGTTCGAGATTTCGCAAGGATTTCCGCACCGCTCACAAACCTCACGAAGGACGCCGAGAAGTTCGAATGGGCCGAGGAGCAGCAGCAGGCATTTGACGAGCTGAAGCGACGACTGCAGGCGCCTTCTGTTCTTGGACATTTTGACCAGGATGCGGAAACCGAGATTCACACGGACGCAAGTAACGCAGGACTTGGCGCGGTACTGGTTCAAGTACAAGAGGGCACCGAGCGAGTCATCGCCTACGCAAGTCGGACATTGTCCAAGGCGGAGCGAAATTACTCCACGACTGAAAAAGAATGCCTTGCGGTCGTCTGGGCGATCACGAAGTTTCGTCCGTACTTATATGGAAGCCCGTTCCGCATAGTCACGGACCACCATTCGCTCTTCTGGCTTGCGAACATCAAGGACCCGTCAGGACGCCTTGCGCGATGGAGTCTCCGACTACAAGAGTTCAACATGACAGTAGTCTACAAGTCAGGCCGCAAGCACAGCGACGCCGACTGCCTGTCCAGAGCTCCCGTCAAAACACCCTCCGACAGCAGCGACGACGATGACGACGAGTGTTTCCTGGGCGCAGTGAATAGCGACGACATGGCCCGACGTCAACGAGACGATCCTGAGCTGCGCGCACTAATAGAGCACCTGGAAGGGCGTGGGAGTGCCATACCACGCGTTTTTTCACGAACCCTGCCGACCTTCGCCATTAGACAAGGAGTTCTCTACAAAGAGAACTTCGGCAACAACAACTCCACGTGGCTGCTGGTAATCCCGACCGACCTTTGAGAGGAGATCTTCCAAGCCTGCCACGACGACCCGACGTCCGGACACCTTGGTTACAGCCGGACACTGGCTCGTATTCGTGAAAAGTATTACTGGCCCAAGCTCCCCAAAACCGTCCACCTATACACACGATCATGCCATGAATGCCAGCGACGAAAGAAACCTCCAACGAGGCCGGCCGGACTTTTGCAGTCAATTCCTCCGCCAACGGCACCCTTCCAGCAGATCGGAATGGATCTACTTGGCCCTTTTCCGCCGTCGACGTCAGGAAATCGCTGGATCATCGTCGCCACAGATTATCTCACGCGATACGCCGAAACGAAAGCCCTTCCTTTCGGAACTGCTGTGGAAGTTGCCAAGTTTTTCATTGAATCCATTGTCCTCCGGCACGGCGCTCCCGAAGTCCTGATCTCAGACCGTGGATCCTCGTTCATGGCCCAGCTGACACAAGAAGTCCTTTGTCTCAGCCACACCAGCCATCGTCGCACCACGGCGTACCACCCTCAGACCAACGGGCTGACGGAAAGACTCAACAAGACCATCGCCGACATGATTTCCATGTACGTCGACGTGGAGCACAAGACATGGGACGAGGTGTTGCCATATGTCACCTTTGCCTACAACACGGCTGTACAAGAGACCACCGGAGTGACACCCTTTCAACTGGTGCATGGGCGCAAGGTAACGACAATGCTGGACGCTATGTTACCCCACGAACCGGCTGTCGACGCAAGCGACGACGCCCAGGTGGTTGCCCAAAGGGCAGAAGAAGCCCGTCAGCTCGCCAGACTCCGGATTCAAGCCCAACAACGTATCGACACTGCCTGCTACAACCTTCATCGTCGGGACGTCCACTTCCAGCCCGGAGACAGGGTGTGGGTGTGGACACCGATTCGCCGCCGCGGTCTCAGCGAGAAACTCCTGAAACGTTACTTTGGACCTTACAAAGTGCTTCGTCAACACGGAGATCTGAACTACGAGGTGATGCCCGACGGAACACGGACTTCGTCACGCCGCCCTCCACGACCGGAAGTCGTCCACGTCGTGCGACTGAAGCGGTACTACGCTCGATAGGACTGTGGACCTTATGTGTTCCAAATGACTCTTTAGTTTACCGTTTTGTTTTGTTCGCTTCGTTTTGTTTTTTGGGTTGCATCGGGACGATGCACTTTTTAAAGGGGGGAGTAATGCCGCGCGCGCAGCTGGCCAAGTAGGCAGCGCGCGCGTGGCCTAACGGTTATCGCGTTTGCCTCCCACGCGAAAAGCTAGGGTTCGAATCCTGGGAGTGACTTGTCTTTTGTTTATTCCTGCAATTTAGTGTTCTGGAGAATTCGAGAATCATGTTGCTTGTTCCAGGCCCGAATGTTCTACGCGTCGAAGTTTCTACGCCGATTATTCCAGAAGACCACGCGTGTACATAAGGGGCTCCGCATGGCGAGCCACAGTCAGTCTCGCCCCAGCGTTCGACTCTGCTGCCACGCCGACTTCGACGCCCGCAACGGTCTATTATTATCTTTTGTACTCTTTTATTTTTGGCACAAGTTCGCCACATTAAACATTTATTTCTTCCTGTTTATTTGTTATTTTTGGTCACCACCCGTGACAATATAACGAACTACTGATAAAACGACCACTTTTCGCAAAACTATCGCGTTCGTTTCAGTGGGTTTGACTGTATCATGAAAGTGCCCTCTTCAGACAAGCGCCCACTATTAGGTAACATTTCCCAAATTCGAGAACTCTGCAAATTATACGTTAAGCGCCCACCCGCTCTAAAGCGTCGGCATCAGCCAAAAATATTCACCCTGTTGCGGTGGCCACAAGACCGCCAGCGAAAATGAAGGGGATATGATGTGAAAATAAATGTGCTTGCTCCGATTCTGCTCACCCTGCCTTCAGAGCTCTTTATTGGCCGCCATGATGGTTTTACTGATTTGACCGGACAAGTGCCCACGTCAAGATTAACCCAGTTTTTAGTGAAATTGGGGGCGGGCGTTTCCTCGGTATTTTACGGTAGTTAGGGACATTTGCTGCAGCTCTAGACCTTCGGCTCAAGGTCACTTATTGATGCAGTTGCTGTGAGAACAGCACAACTACACTGGAGAGCTGGTTACGTCCAACATGCTCAGCTGCACCTCAGAGAAAATTTAGGTGCTCTAGAATCTATGAAGTACATGATGTGCTAATAAGCATTATCAGAGGTACTTTACGGTGGGCTTCCTGCCAGAAGACAACACCCGTAGGTAGGGTAGCGCTTTCTCGGTATTCATAGAAAAATGCTAAAAAATGCCCCCCGAATCATTTTTCTTAAATTTTGGTTTTTACCGATAAAGGAGAAAATTGCCCATCAAATCTTTCTCTCAAATTGAGATTCACCAAGAAGCACATATATTTTAAACATGTTACGGTAACTAAAAAAATAAAAGGTTCTGAGTTTTTGTTCCTAGTAATGCCCCTTAAGTCATTTAAGATGTGGATAAATATGGTATGTCCACTTCATTTACTCTCATGTAGTTAGTGTAAAGGTATAATGCAGAAAGCAATGGCCAGGCAGTAAGTGCACATAAAGATCAGTCAACACAGAATGGTACATGTATAGACAGTGGCGGACTTAGAGGGGGGCGGGGGTCGGGATGTCCTGACCCTTGAATTCCGAATGTGCAAATATTTAGGGCAGGAAAAAGGGGGGGAGGCAAAGCGGAGTGTCTTCTCATAGATTTGATACGCTGAATCCCCCACCTCTAGAAACACCTGCATCCGCCCCTGTGTGTTTGCAACTCCAATGCTCTATAGGTGGCAGTTCGGTAGTTCCAAGATGGTGGAAGAGACGGGGATAGATCTTCCATGCGCCTGCTTGCTGATGCTGGTCCATATGCTTAAGTAAATTTATTTGACTACATAAGCGAAATAATCAGGGGCACGAGCATATCATAGATGACGGAGATGTTTACGTGTGTTAGGAGAACGAGCATGTTTTTTTAAAAGTTGCGCAAACATCACATAACTTGTGAGGCTTTCTGGAGGGCAAGGGCATTTTGGGTACCAATCACGTCATTGTAAGTGGCAAAATATTTTTGTAGGTGGTGAAAATATTTTAGTGTTTGCACTGTGCCAGGCCACCAGTGCTTCAAAACATGTGCCATGCAAGGTGAGCGTCAAGCTCCGGTATTAGTTCACAGTATTGATGTCTCTATGTCAGCTGCTCACGGCTCACTACACACCATCGCGGTTTTAGTGCATTGCAACACATGATCAACCTGTGCCATGGTTACTAATAGGCAGCTTTAGCATAGCGTAACTGCGGGTGAGGCATTGCAACTAGAAGTATACGCTGCAACTTTGAAGCATGATTTCAGCACACACCAAGAGCATTGTCGTGCCTACACTAGCCTGTGGTAACGCTATGGAAGGAATGCATAATAGGTACTTTTAGCAAAACTTTACCATGTTCTGTCTACCACACAACTGGAGCCCTTGAAGCATGCTTTTAAGCGCACGCCTTGCGGTCATGGTATCACCCGCGTGCGCGTTTAAAAGCGTGCTTCAAAGGCACCGGTGATGCTGTACGCGGAACTTGGTAACGGTTCACTCGGTCGAAAATCGGTCGAAATAGTTGTGGAAATGGCCAACTCACGATGCTTCCGAGAGGCCGCCCGCCTCGGCGTCTGCTGGGGGGAGGGGCTTGCGCCCGGGGGCGGAGCCCTGGGAGGACAACGGGGCCTGCGGGGGCGAGGTCCGCGGAGGTGCGGGGCCCTCCTCTGCCTCGTCGTTCCCGCTGCCGTCGCTGATGGAAATGAGTGGGTTGGGGCGTGGCGCGGGGGGCGCCTCCTCGTTGATGCTGTTGTCACTGCCGTACCGGCTGCCCAGGGGCGCCACACGGCAGAGGGCGTCGAAGCCCAGGATGGCCCCCAGACTGTCCCCAATCAGGGACACCTGCGCCACAGAGAAGCGCACGTGCCAGCGTCGAATAAACAGGCCTCCAAAGGGATCGCCAATTCCAGTACATTGGTAGCTCTATTACTGTAGCGACGTCGACGGGTTTCATTCCATTCTACGGCAACATCCTCGAATGTGGTCTCTCGATTTTCGCCCAATGAAGTCATGGAAGGGTCGTGCTGCTGCCTGTTGCGGTTCTGGCGGAGGCATCAGTAGCGGGCGTGAATGTGGCAGACCCCCGTTCCGCTGCAGCTGGCACTCAGGCTCGACGGTTCACAAAAGCTTCAGCAGCCGAGAGTTGGCACGACGACAGCAATCAATGCGTTCGCTCATATTTTTGCCGGCACTTTAACGATCAATCTTCAGAAAAATTGCAAATTCCGACAGCCTAAGACGCCAGCTCTTGTGACGACATTTGCTGACACTTCGGGACCAATTTTGACGCATGGGCTAGGTAGAATGCTAAACACGCCAGTCAAAAATGCGTTCGAGGCACTGTGATTCCATAACAATGTTCTCTAGCCGCACCAACCAGAAAAAACAAATTCACCCAGCTAATGGGAATTTTCCCATTGGTACCAGTTGAAATTTCAACTGGCTCTAATTGCAACTAATTGGTTTTTCTAGGTTCCAACTGGAAGCACACTGGCCAATTAGCCTCACCAATTGGAATTATTTTTTCCACTTGGAACCTGAATAGTTCAAAATGAATCCCATGGTACCAATTGGTACCAATGAGAAAATTCCAATTGTAATCTAATGGGAATTTTCAGCGGGGCTACATAGTGTTCCCCGTTATCCTGCTTTCCCTCAGCACACAAACACTAGGAGGAAGAAGTGTATCTCCAGACATGTTAATGCATGTGCGCGTCGGCACCGCAATAAACAGGAATACAGCTATTAAAACTACTTTGTACAGAAAATTAAAAAAAAAAAAAATGGTTGTTATTACACAAGTTTATGCTATATACTGCATGACAATTACGTACTGTGTATGCAAAAAAATTGCAACATTTTTTTTTTAAATCTGAAATAAAACAAATTTATAGCATTGTGAATGAATTTCCAATTCCAGTCAAGTCCGCTGTAATAAGATGCAAATGTAACATATGGGGGAGCAGAATTGTAAAGGACGGTAAGCAAGTGTGCATTATCCTCATGAACCAGTAACTGAAAAAGTATGCTTATACTGCATCTTATTGTTGGAATGTGGTGTGAGTAGAAGATTGATGTAGGCTAGGTCGTTCCATATTGAAAGTATTACTCTAATGCAACCAGCAGACCACAAGGGCTAAAATTCCGTACCCTGAAAATCTGAGCTTGTTTCGAATATGACGCTCACAAATGGCCATAATGAGAAAACCAATGTTTGTACATAAGTTGCCTGATGTCTGACATACCCAAACAAAGACTCCTTACACACTCTATCGAAAAGCTGTGAATGAATAACTTGCTAAAAGTCTTCTTTTCCAAGCATCTCATCTCTCAGGATCTGCATCAGTCTTCTCATCCTCTCTAACTGTAACAAATTTGCTAGGCTATCCCTTTTTCTCTAACTGTATTACAGCCAATGCCTCTGGTCATTGTACATTATACCTTCAGAACGCCTCATCATTGTACAGGCCATAACCTTAACATAAAGCATCAAAAAGCAAGAACTATAACTTTTTAGAACACAATTGACCTTTCATAAAATGGTCTTCCCGCAAACGTTGTTGCCACTTACGATACAGCAGAATTTAAGCAACTATTAACAGATGTCACATTCTCAGTTCATATTTCGATCGAGTCGATCATTTGTGTATGATATTGAATCTATGTGGCTGTCTGCATTTAAGGGGGGAGGCTGGTCTTTAAATGGTAAAAAGCTGGAGAAAATTCACTTTTGAAAAAATGGCTTTTCTGAAATTTAGACATACCCACCCAGCTCTGTGCAAAATATTATTGCTCTATCTAATTTTTAAGTATGAAAGAAAAATATAAAGTCTTAATTTTCTATGAACATTCAGTAGGAATACACATACTTCAAGGGCTTTTTTCTCTCTTCCCACTTTTTTCACAAGTACCGATGCCTTACAGGCGTTTTCTGAAGTTTGTCTTGGACAATATTAACACATTTGGTGCCATTTTAATCGCGAAGAAAGGAGCTGTGCGGTGATGCTATTTTTATAGTCTTCCAGCTTAAGAGTTCTATCCAATTAATTACTTTCTTAAATAATGAGAAAGCATCTCTTTTACACTATAATTGCAATCATTTTTTAGTGACATAACCCTGTCAGTTAAGATCTAAAATAGCATCACCGCACAAATTACACCTTTGTGAATACAGTTGCATTAAAAATTTTGATAATTTACGAATACTTTTTCTTTAAAGACCCGTAACAAATGACCTAATCAAATTAGGCCAATCTCCCATAACTCTGGTTCTAGTAAAGATATTCAATATCTGATTGCATATTTGGAATAGGTGTGAGATGTGTTATACCAGTGTATAATATGATAAGTATTCCTTTGTAAATAAAAAAAATTACTCTCAAGCCCCACATCACCCCTTAACCCTTTCCCTACCATAGACGACCTGGGTTCGTCCACACTGTTTGTACCGCTCCTCCCAAAGACGAGCTGGGCTCGTCCACATTGATTCGGGTTCCAATACCTACCTTGGACGAACAGGACTAGTCCACGTGTTTCTGGTGAGCTTTGCCGTGGATAAATGGCGCTTTACGAAAAATAAAAACCTAGTAAATTTTTGAATTTGACAGAAAATTGTTCTAACGCAGACAACAGGGGATTTAAAAATGGCGGCGTCAACTTCTGGTAGCTGCGTTCGTAGTGACGATCTTGCCTCAAAATTGGGGCGAAAACGGAGATATTGTGACGTCTCTTCAGATTCAGAAGACGAGGAAATTAATCTTTTATCGAACAGCAAGAGCGATGTAACTGAGTTATTGGATTTTAGCTCAGACGACTCCGATTTCGATGAGGATATCGTGTCGGCGTGTCGGCATTGGACTAGAATCAACGTAGAAAATCTCTCTCCAGGTTTTGCGTGCACTTTGCGTGCAAGGTGATGTGAACTGTCTGCAATACTGCTACGCCAGGCCTGAACATTCATGTGCAAGGTGACATTAACTGTCTGCGGTAATGCAGTGAAGCGGAACTTCAGTGCCTTTTTCTTTTGCACTCTGTTCAAAAATTTCTCATATAATAAATATTTTGGCATTTGTTTTTGGCCTTTGTATTGCATATTAAATTCATAGGGCACATAAATAAATTCAGTATTTTCAAATCGTTTTTTTTTCAAAATTTTTGCGGTAGTCAAAGGGCAAAGGGTTACTTTCCAATGACAAACTGTGTACCACTATTTAGGCTATGTGCTGTTTGTGGACACAACAAAATAAAGATTATTATACCAAGTATTTTTTCCCTACTGATTTTTTTTACTCCTTGTTTCATTTTTTTTTACCTGCAATCTTGTTTTTGAGATATTCTACTCTTTTTCTGATGCTATTCATCCCTGATGTGACTGATATCTCAAAAGAAAGTCTTGTAAAGGAATGCTGAAGTGAAAATTGGAATGTACCTCTCAGATTCAGAAATAAGTCAGACATGATCAACAATATATCTGCTAATGACAATTGCACGCTTGTATTTTAAACGGACGGCTATATTTTTCATTCGAAATGGACGATTCTGGCAAGAGCTCGAACAACAGACATCAGAGAGTGCGATGTGTTTCGGGAAATTTGGCGCCTCCAGCGCGATTATGACGCCATGCTCTCCTTTACAGGCAGGACTACAGTCTAAGCTCATTAAAACAGACCTGGTTACAACAGACATTTGGATATGACATACCGACCTATTTGTGAAGTTCGGTTGGTTTTTCTCTACATACCATTGACTCAACCTCATATCTGCATGCAACATACTCCTTTTACAACAGACCAAAATCTTGGTCAAAATCAAAGCCTGTTATAACGAGCTTAGACTGTACGGCGAGGCTGGCATGGTTATGAGCTTTGCCATTTGGCCCTGTCGCCGCGTTGCAACCTAGCCGTTCCAGATACCCAAGGAATGACTGGGCAGCACAATAGACACAAATGAAGGCAAAGTTAGTCCCTTGCACCTCAAAACTACGCTGACCTTCTCCTCTTCCTCTCAGTGTCACCTTGTCTTTCCTTCTATTTTACCCAGCCACAGGAGTTGAATAGGCGCGGGAGAGAAGGGGTTCGGCCAAGTTTGACAGCCCACGCGTGTTCGGAGCTCGGCAACACACTTCCGCGAAGCGGCGCTGCTTTTGGAGAGAGGTTGACGTAACAACATTCCAAGTAGCTTTGGGATAAAGGAACCAGGTGCAATTTAGTAATCATTTTACTCGTCTTAGACTAAGTTTTGGTGTCTTTTCAAACAAAACAATTAGTGCCTTTGTGATGACCGCCATAACATAGCCGACATTAAGACACTAAACTGGAGCTAGAATTTTGCTCTTTGCCCCTTTAAGACAGCCCACCAAGCCTATTTTGTTGTCATCCAGAGAAATTAAATCAATGTTAAGGCCCTATCACACACTTGCCTTTCCTCGGGACAGAGTTTTTGCGATCGCTTACGACAAGAGAAGAAACTGGTACGCTGGTGCCATCTATGAGGCGAAGCTGGAACTGCATTTTGCCTGAGCGAAGGCTTTGCGGGATTTGCCAGATCAAATGTACACACTATCTATGAAAAATGGTCATTTATAACATTGTCAAAAAGTTAAAAGAGATTCTAAGAGGTTTTAAGAAACATGGCCGTATGCAGTCGCAAGCGTGTGAACCAGCGTTTAGAGTTACTGTGTGGTAGCTCTTGACAGGGATAAGGGCAAGGGCTTTGCTGGATCCCGGTGAGACCGACGTACAGTCGTCGACCAATTTTTCGGATGCCTATTTTTCGGACACTTTGATTATTAAAAAGTTTTCGCCGAACCGTTACTCACCCCATAGAGTTAATGTATTGATTGAAATTTCGGATGTCATAAAGCTCATTGCTCCATACTTCAGACATAATTTGTGTAATTTCCGCAGTTTACAGCCACAAAACAGCTCCCGCCATAGCGCTGCGAGCTTAGTCACCGCCATTTTGGTTTAATTGATTCTGCCCTGTAGCCCCAATACCACGTCCTATCCAATAACAAGTTGGGTTGAGGCTTGTGGGCAACCTGGGAATTCAAACTGTTTGGCCCAGGTTGCCTCTTTGACAATCGTCAGTAGTCCTCTGCACTGCGAGGGGGCCAAGGACAACTGGCCACGCAAGCGGCGCTCCACCGCTAATAAAGAGCCGTTGCAGCATATGCATGGGAGCTTTTGGGATTGCGACGCAGGCGATAACGATCCGCCCCACACCCGTTTGTGAACATACGCTTATTTGCAGATGATTGCGTGTTGTTTAGAGAAATATCTTCGCCTGACGATCAACAATTAATGAGCGCAAGCCTCAATGACATTCAAAGTTGGCACTGTACATACGTGGGACATGAAGTTAAATTTAAAAAAAAACAGTTTGTTTGCAAATTACAAAAAAGAAAAAGCCATTCAACTTCCAATACAGACTAAACAACATTCCCATCACTCAGATTGATGACTAATAGTACCTCGAAGTGACCATAAATAAGAACTTGCATTGGACGACCCATATAAAAAAAGTGAAAGCCGTTTACAACTTCCTGTAACGCCGAATTAGAGCGCAGCTCTTGAGGAGGAGGAGGAAAGGGTACTGGGGGGGGGGGGTCAAGTGACCTTGGGTGGGGGTCACGTGACCTAGGGGAGTCACGTGACGATGCCGATGACGTCATCAGTAACGATGACGATGCGGATACCGATGACGTCATCAGTGACGTCACTGATGACGTCATCAGTGATGATGACAATGACGATGCGGATGCCGATGACGTCATCAGTGATGATGACGATGACGATGCGGATGCCGGTGACGTCATCAGTGATGATGACGATGCGGATGCCGGTGACGTCATCAGTGACGTCACTGATGACGTCATCAGCGATGATGACGATGACGATGCGGATGCCGGTGACATCATCAGTGATGATGACGATGACGATGCGGATGCCGGTGACGTCATCAGTGACGTCACTGATGACGTCATCAGTGATGATGACGATGCGGATGCCGGTGACGTCATCAGTGATGATGACGATGACGATGCGGATGCCGGTGACGTCATCAGTGACGTCACTGATGACGTCATCGGGGGTCACGTGACCCCGGGGGTCACGTGACTTGGGGAGCCACGTAACCTTGGGGGTCATGTGACCTTGGGGGTCACGTGACCTTGGGGTAACCTTGGGGAGTCGCGTGACTTTGCGTGTCACGTGACCTTGGGGTCATGTGACCCTTGGGGAAGGGGTCACGTGACGGGGTGACCTTGGGATGACCTTCGGAGTCAAGTGACCTTGGGATGACCTTGGTTACGCCGACGCCGACGGTGACGGCGACGCCGCTTAAGCCGGGAACGGGCCCCTAAGAGCTGCGCTCTAAAATATATCCTCGGCACCCTTCAAGAAGTTGGGTTTTTTAAGGCATAAGCTGAAATACGCTACTCCAAATGTGAAATTACTGGCTTACAATTCACTCGTTAGATCTAAACTACTGGGTGTATCAAGGAGTGGCCAGGTTCTTTAAATCGACCGCAAAATTCGGTTTCTTAACCTATCACGCTACGACTTTGTACAGCGTTGCCCACAGATGGCGCATTTTTTTTTGTAAAATTTGCAAAAAGTGAACTTACCTTTACTTTTTCCTCAGGTAAGTTCGCTCTTTGCACATTTTACAAAAAAAATGCACCATCTGTGGGCAATGCTGCACAAAGTCGTAGCGTGATAGGTTAAGAAACCGAATTTCGCGGTCGATTTAAAGAGCCTGCCTGGCAACTTCTTGATACGCCCAGTAGAATATGGTAGTATTACTTGGGACCCTCATACGAAATCTAGTTCTGAAATATTAGAACGAGTTCAAAGACGTGCTGTAAGGTTTATATACGGAAATTTTAAGAGAACTGATTCGCCCTTACAGTTGACGCAAACCAACAAAATACAAACTTTAGAGCACCGTCGGAGGATAGCCCGTTTGAAGTTTCTGCACTCTCTTTTTATATGAAAACTGTCCTTGGATCCAGATTACTACTTAAAGCCGCTTTCTACAAGATGAAGTAGGCACCATCATGAACATTCCTTAACACCATACTTTGCACGCACTAACCTGTTTAAATTTTCGTTTTTTCCTCGTACAATTGAAGAATGGAATTCTCTTCCTTGTTCGGTTATTTCCTCTTCGGATTTTGCTTCATCATTAGAACAGTTATTGTAGTGGTGTTTTTGTATTTCAATGTGTTTTGGTGTTTTTATATTTAGTGCTTACAGGCTTCGGTATTGTGCTTCTTGGCTACAGCTACTTGTGTTGCTGTATCGTACCGCCTCTTTCATACTTTCTGCCGATTGTATGCCTTACTTCTTGTCTTGTTTTTTGTACGGGTTCTTGAGCTTGTACCCTGTCCATCCTGCTAGGACCATGTGTGGACTGCAGTATTTATTTATTTAATAGATAAATAAATAAATAAATGTCTCTGTGTTGTTGAACCGGTGCGCTGTGTCATTTCCCGAGACGGGTGGCAGCAAGGGAATTCCGGACTATAGTCGGGTTTTACGGTTCCGCTATAACCAACATGGCCACCGTCTGCCCATTCTTATGGCTCTTCCAGTTTTTCTCGTGGTTCTTGTTTTTCAAGTGCGATCGCGAGAAGAGCGGCCATCTGTCGTTCTTCTGGTCTTTGAGCGCGAAGGTTTTTTGCCGATAGGCTTAGTATTGAAGCGAGTTTGGTGGATCAAACGTTCTCTACAAATAGTGTCAAATGGCGCCAACTTCAATTTCGCTGTTTGTGCCAATGAAGGTGCCGAAACAGTGCAGCACTGTGATCAAACAGATCAACAAACAAGTAAAAAGTGAACAATATAAAGCGGAAGTTGCGCGAGAACTTAAAATTGATATCAAGCAAGTGGAAAGTGGCCAATACGCAATAGAATATATGTGGGGAAATTTGATGTTCTGGGGGGCTGAACTCGACTTTCCGGACCACTTGATTATCGGACAATTTCAAGGTCTCCTCCGAGCCTGAAAAATTGGTTGGCGACTGTAGTCATTTCTTGCATTTGCTACTGTAAAAAAAAGGGAGTCCAAAGGGGGACCTGTGCATGCCTGGCCTCACTCTTTATGCAGAAGCAGTATATGTGTGGAAAGCCTCCTTACACAACTGGCTGTTTGAGAAGCTGTAGGCTGTGGTATTTCCGTTTAAAAGCCAATATTCGGTGGCTTAGGCCACCTCTCTCGCACTGCCCTCGCACAACCGCTTTTCGTTGTCCATATCCCCACATCTTCCACTGCCCTGCACCCAATGCACCGGAAGTGGCTAAAAAGTTTGACACTTTGCGACGAAGAGCAGCTACGCGGGCACAGCGCAAGGAGCAGTTGCGACATGAGATAGAGCCTGGAACGTGACAGTCTGTCCAAGGAGGTGCAAGCCACTGAACGACGGCTCTAAAAAAATGGTACTATCCAGATTTGGGGCCCCTTCCTTCGGACAGGCGGAGAGTGAGAACACCGCAAAATTCAGCCGGAGCCGTTTCTCTCTAGATGCCCACAGCCGAGCGGAAATATACGCGAGCATGGACCCACCTGCCCGGTGAAACCGTGGCCCTGCTCCGACTTGAGGAAGTCGTGGTAGACCTGGTTGGCGGCGCACACTGTCTTGGCCACCAGCTCGGGGTACTCGGGGGACGACACCCCGAAGAGGGGTAGAGCCCCCAGGGGGATAGAGTCCTGGTGCCGAAATGTGCTCCCATCCAGAGCACAGGGGGACGCCTGGAAGCTGTATGGGCTCAGGCTGCAAAGAAAGACGTTGGGGCTGTCACATCCACACAGTTCTCACCACACCTCCAAATCCTGGTTTCATACTACCGTAATATCCCCAGTCATCGCCCACTCCCAAGTCATTGCCCGCCCCCCCCCCCCCCCCCCCCCCCTTTTTGGGCGAAATATCGATTTCGTAAAAAGCACTTAGTCAACGCCCACCCCGTTTCAGGCAATCGATCTCGTAAAAAAAGCACCGAGTAATCGCCCAGACCTGAAAAACGTCAATTCCGAGCCCCACAAATGGCAAACAGAAAAAAAAAAAAGAAGAAAGGGCGCCCTTCTGCATTTTCACGACTCCAAAAACAGGAGGATGCGTGTGCAGAAGAAACACAATAAAGATAAGAAAGTGAACCTATATTTATCTGGCAAACAAAAGCAGACATGTTTCCGATCCTTTCTCTCCTGCCCGCACCCCCCTTCCCCCCCTTCCCCTCCCGAAAAAGAAATAAATATAAAAGGCCAGAAGGTCCATTTGCAATATAGCGCCTGGACGCGCGGATCATAGGGTCAAAAAAGATTGTAGGGGGGAGAGAAAGAGATAACAGAATACCGCTTTATGTTCTTTTTTTTTTTTTTTTGTTCATAACTGAAAGTCCGTTTCCACCGAAAAGATAAGTCAGGCCGCGAAACCGCAACTTAAATGGGACGTGGATCGGATGACTAACTCAATACTGCGAATACAAGTGGTTCAGAACAAAAAGCCTCGTTTGGATTCGATTTTCTTTCTCCAAAACCTACTCCGGCCGACTTGGCATTCTTTGAGAACGTCGCGACCACTCCGCGCGAAGTCGGAGTATGTTTATAGAACGCCGCTTCCTTTTGTTCCTAACTGAAAGTCCGTGTTCGCCCAAAAGATAAAAAAACGCCCATCGGTAAATTGCAAAGGGGGCAAACACACAGGCAATCTTTGCGAATGCTGCAACCGCCGTGTGCCTAAACAAAGCGTCATTTTCCTTTCTTAAAGCATCATCATCATCATCACCCCCCCCCCCCCCCGCACACACAAGCCAATCGGGCGCCGGCGCAGAGCGTAACCGGTGGCTGCGTTCTGAGAACAACCAATTGCTGCGCTCCGCTTCGGTGCCCAATTGGCCTTGGCCGCCCGCAGCTCCGGTTGTACTGCCACAAAAAGTTGTCCCGGAGCCGCGCGCGCGCACGCACAAACACAAAGGTCATTGAGTTTGTGCGTGCGCGCGCTTCCCGCGGCAACGGTCGCGCCCGCGGAGAGAGCCTTTTTATGGATTTCGCTTTTGTCATCTTATTTTTGCTTTTGTACTAGGTTCGTTTTAGGCGTCGGTTAAAGGCTGCCGGTTTGCTTGGTTCCGAAGTCGAAAAGGAAGCGGGGACCCGCTCTCCTTCCGGCTTTCGTCACCTTTGCTCGGTCACTGTGGCTTCTTGCGATTTTTCTTTTCTTTTTTTTTTCGATGATTCTCCTTTTTTTTTCTGTTCACGTTGGACCGAAGGCTGCAGCGGTCGTGGCTTCGAATTGCGCTTGCTCGGAGGAGGCGGAAACGAGCTGCCTGCGAAGCAGTGGATTTTGCTCAACAGTAAAATGAGTCGCAAGTAAGATACCAACCTGAGATTTGAGTTCAGTTAATCTCCTGTCTAGCTTCGCTATACACAGACAAAAAAAAATCACATTTTTAAACTTTTTCGAAACTTTTTGAGCTCGGTACCCGAGTCATGGCCCACCCCACAATTTTTGAGAATTTCAGGCGGTGGGGGGGTGGGCGTTGACTCGGGATATTACGGTAGTCAGACTCATAGCAGAAACAATACGTGCAGCAGCCGATTGCATGCCTTAAAGGGGATTTGAATTACTGTTGAGACCAATTATAATGAAGTCAACGGGAATCAAAGATCACTTTGCTATATCCACTTCTTCGTCATACTTGTACTCCATAAAAATAACATGCAAAAAAAAGATAACACGAGCTATCACGGGCACATGCTTATTGTGCCGGCAGAAAACAGTCTATGCTTCCCTGCACGTGCTTTCTACTACATCAAGACCAGATCTCGCCAACTGCGAGAAGCGGCTCTGATCAAGGGAAGGTCCTTCCAGCTACGTACCGTATTTACTCGCATAATGAACGCACCCCCCACAACGGGTACCAACATTTTGACTTTTTTACAGCGAAGCTGTTAAGGGCTAGTTTCCCCCGGATCGTGTCCACCAGCAAAGAAATGATGACACCGAACTCTGGACAGCTACCGCCACCTATGAGCGACGGCGGTAACCACACAACAGGCTTGCCGCCGCTGCTCATAGATGGCGGCAACTTTTCTTTGGAGGAAGAAGAGCGGGAGCGGAACGAGCGGCGATGTGCGCAGTAGCGCGAATGGTTCCGCAACCGCGCGAGACCGCTATCGCCTAAAGTTCCACTGTGTCGAGCGCTTCAGATTCCCCTGTGAAAGAAGAACAGATCGCTGGCCTGGAAAGCCACCACCGAGAACAGAAGCTACAGCTCCGCTGCTCTTCCTTCTTCACCGGGGTGGAAAGGCTGAAAGATTTTTTTCCTTCGCGTAAGAAACACACCTTCAATTTTCGGCTCCGCGAGTTTCGAATTGCCTCCAACTTAGCTAGCCACCAAACCAATTTTCTTTTGCTGCCAAGCGGTCAGGCCAAGTCAAGCCAAGCCAAGCCAAGCCAAGCCGCTCTCCAAATGGCTGCAAGTGCGTAGTTGCAGAAGTGATAAACCGTGAAACGAAGCGGCGCACACACTTGACGAAGCTTGGGTCGAGGAATTGCCGAGCCCCGGACATTCTTCGCCTATTGGATGCATTGATGTCATCAAACACATCGTCGTCTGTGGTCCGCTTTCAGACAGTGAAATAGTGAAAGTTGTTAGGCCTACGAACGGTCGCATTACTCTCTCTACTGAGTGAGCTCGTAGGGCGCTTTTCCTTCAGCAAAAGGCACACCCAGCGTGGCAAGTTTGTGTTTTGTTGGTATAGAGAGCCTAGATTTAAGAGAGGGGGCAACTGCTCGATCGAGGTCACATGGTTTGTGGGACCCATTTGCAAAACAAGCTACAGCCTGCAAGCAATCAAAAGCATTCACCATCTGCAAACATCTCTGCCTCTCCACCCGGTTTCCTTGCCACGCTGGCCACGGGACAACGCAACAAAAGCAAACTTGCACCAATCTGCCCAGGAGGCGTCTTCCCTTAAATTGCCAATAATCTCCATAGTTGGAGTTGCTTCCTCTTTTAAATCAACGCACTCTACGTCGGTATGTTGTCGCTAGCGCTCAGAATGTCCCGCCCCTGTCGGCATGTCACAACAGCTTCTCCACATGCAATGCGGAAAAGCCGCTTCCCAGATAAAGAGTGGGGAGCAGACGACAATGCAGAGGCGAGCGCCGGTGACCATTGCAGCATCGTCTGCTGCCTGTTCAGGGTGACTGCTTGGCTGCGGCAGCGAAGTCCGGCGGTCAGCGACTTTGTAAACTTTCTTAACTTGGATTTTTTAAATTATCACTTTCTCTTCGCTATGCATCCACGGGAGCCTTCCAATTTCTTTCGCTAAAAACAAACACAAATACATTGAGAAAGTGCAAACGGGAATGGAAAATCATGACGACCAAAAGTCATCAAAAGGACAAGGGGGCAAGACTGTTACCATCACGAAATCGGAAAGCACAATCAGCGAGGGTGAGGGCCAAAAAGCTAATCTCTTTGCTATCTCTTTGCTATAGCCACTATTATAACCGGCTTCGTTAAAAACGGGCATAGGAGCACCGGTTATGACAAATAATAATCTACAAGGTTTATGATCTCTTGCGAACAACTCGGCAGAATACCTAGAGCCCCGTTTTGAAGGCTGCCGTTGGTGAAATATTTGAAAGAAGGTTTACTGTCGAAGGCCAATGTATTTGAGTTGCACATGCTCAGCACACATTGAATATGAGTGTTGCCTAAACATTTGGCTCAGATTTTGTTTCAGTCGTCGCTTAGCTTTGAGTTTTGGTCCAATTACACGCAATACACTTGAGGCGACAATTATAAGTCTCCACTGTCAAAGGTTGCTAGAGGGGGTATTTGTGAAATAGTGCTCCTTCCTTCCTCCTTTCGAGGTAATGAATACTCTAACGAAATTACGCCACGCGGGACAAAATAGAGTCCGTGTTTTTTGTGAACAAAGAACAAGTAGTGTTTATTACAACTTGACTGACCTCCTGCAAACGAGTTTTCTCTCTAGGCAGGTTGCCAACCGGAATAAGAAAGTGTCAGCTTTGGGAGTTTCTTCATCCTCCCCGCCGATTGGGCGCAGCTCAATCGGTAGGGAGGATGAAGCAAGTGAATGGAGCAATTGAATGAACCGTCGAACTGTGGTGTCCTCTGGAAAGCGGACCATGCAGCACCGGATGTGGCCGTCATGTCCGGAAATTACTTGGATGACGTGGCCCATCTTCCATGTCTGTCAATCGTGGGTGGATGTCGTCATGTAGAGTCACTCCGTCATTCACCCACAGATTGCTTAAGGCTGTCAGAGAGGTGTGCTGAAATGACCTTAGTGTGCACAGGTATTCCTTGCGCCAGCGCTTCCAGAGTGAAGTCCAATAGCCTCTCCCTGTACCTCCAATGCTGAGTCAGCTCATCAGATGAAGGAACAGTAGGCTCTCCTCTTCGTATCGACAAGGAAACTAGACGCCTGCCAACAAGGAAGTGTGCTGGTGTGAGTGGCTCCGGCTCATCCGAGTCAGTGGCTATGTACCGTATTTACACGAATGTAGGTCGACCCTTTTTTCAATTTTTGAAAATCTGAAGTGGGAGGGTCGACTTATAATCGAACCAAAGCATTCCACCGCCGGCAAAAACGAAACAATCGCGATATCATGGACACCTCGGCTTGTTACGAGTTCAGCCGGCTGCACCCTGAGCTTTACACTGTTTTGTGCGCTCATTTTACAAATTATTAATAAAAAATAAACGAGTATTATTGGTAGCGATTCGCAAAATAACCCGG